ACCACAATAAACTGCCAAGTGCTACGGCTAACTGGTTTAACGTTATCATTGATATTACTGGTAGTTTGGTTCCAGTTTCGATGCCTAGGCCTTTTCACTTTGGCACAACTTCTCTCGAGTCAAGATTCTTCCTATGTTTTCTTTAGCCGTTCCACTTTGTGATTATTGGGTGATATAGGCGCAACATAGAAACAATGTAATTTCCGAATCTGACGTAAGAATGTAATTCCTGAATCTCACATAAGAGGAAGAAAAGTACAATTGTAAGTGGTATATATATATATAAACATAAAGACCACTACCATTAAAAGTTTGAGTTTGAACTAGAGCTTGGCCTAAAATGTTGTTTGACCAATTATAGACTTCAACTTGAGTTGTCTCGATTCGTATCATAAAAGTTTCCCTCGCGGAGCAATTGAAGGTGTCCCTTTAATTTGGCAATAGCTTAGAGTGGATAGTATGGCATGGTTGACGAGCTTTAGCCTTCTGAATCTCACATCGGGTGGATGTTGTGATTTTGTGCTTATTTAGATTGAACCTAAGTGAGCTTGACAAGAACGTCAAGGGTTTAAATGGGGAGATTGTAATATCTCAATCCTATATTAGAAGAAAATTATGATTGTAAATGTTATATATTTGTAAAGACTAACTGCTACTAGTAACTTTAATTTAAACTTTTGACAATGTGGATCTTGATTTAAAAAATTATTAAATCAATTGTGAGTTTTGTCTTAAGTTATTTTAGATAAGTTAAAACTATAATTATTACAGTGTAAATATCACATTTACCCTATATAATTCTAGCCTTTTTAGAAGTCAATTTCGGAATTCAAGAGAGGGAGATAATGGGAATTGTAATTTGTTTATTCCAAATAAAACTAGCCTTTTTTATAGACTTTACATAATAACTGAATAAGTAGAAACCATTTAAACTAGCATAATTAAAGATCCTGACAGAAATCACAGTGAGTGAGCATGCAAGTAGTTTACTTTTCAAACACATTAGTGCCATGATGAAATCACAGAATTGAAAGAAATCTAATTTGAAAAAAAAAATGAGGAATATTTAACATGTTTCTCCAATTTATTTTCATCCAGTGGAAGTAGTTGTTTTTTTTTTTCTTTTCTCCTCATACCGTTATTAACGTTGTTGTAATTGTTATTTGGTTCTTGCGCCATTAACTAGTTATTTGTTGAATCCTGCAGGTTGGATACTATGGGTTGGAAAATTTGAAGATCTCTGAGTTTGAGCTTGTTGATCAGGCAATTATTGAAATTTGGAACAAGAATCCTGGAGAAATCCTACCTTTTAGAAATCTTAAATCTTTAGAAGTTTCTGGTTATAGCAGCTGGAGATACCTTTTAACCCCTTCTATGGCATTGGGCCTCGCAAAACT